AGTGGTGAAGGGTGTCCTAAAGTGGTGATGAAAAATACGACTGTTGTTAACCTCCTCTCCCGCGCAGAGCTCGGGGCCCACCGCTGCCCACGCCCCAAGCCCCGCGCCCCGCACCCCGCACCCCCGCCCCCGCCAACACTCAACCCCGCCCCCGGCCATGCACCAACAGCTACCCCGGTCCCAGGAGTGGTGGGTGTGGCCCCGGGGGGGGGTCCGGGGTGGGGCATAAAACCCCATTTTTGGGGTTTAGCCCATGTGGTGCGCGCTCTCACGGCGCACCCCCCATTTTTTTTTTATTTTTTTATTATTTTTTTTTATTATTATTATTATTTTTTTTGGGGGGTCCTGGAGCCGGGGTTGGGGGTGCCCACCCCCGGACCCCCGCCGGGGCCCCGGGGCCGGGGCTTGACAACCCTGGCTGTCGGTATGGCAGTGGTACTATTTTCGTGCAGTTCAACATTGTTTTCTTGTAGTTCGATGACTTTCTCATGTGTGGACTTCGTCACCTGAGTCTCTTGTCGTGCAGTGGAACAATTCGTGTTGCGCTCTATGATTTCTATTGCAAGTGAAACACACAGGGCACCGACATCGAAAGCTCGGATATCGGCGGACTACAGCCTCTTCGCCCCCCTGACAACAATCTTATGTAGGTTGTGGTACATAAGATTGTTATCGGGGGGGGGGGGGGGGCGAAGAGGCTGTACTCCGCCGGCATCCGAACTTTCGATGTCGGTACCTTGTGCGATTCACTTCCTTTGTATGTTGTGTGTGGAAAGTAAGGCGTGAAATTGGATTGCTGCCCCTTGCTTGTCACGACGGTTCGCAATTTTGCTATTTGAAGGCATCTGTGTTCTCGCGTCTCTTCTAGCCCTTAAATGACGTTGTCTTAGTCTATTTTCGTGCAGTGGAACAACTCGTGTTGCGCTCTATGATTATTATTGCATGTACGACAACCAACATAAGACTCTTGTCGGGGGTGGGGGCGAAGAGGCTGTAGTCCGCCGATATTCGAAATTTCGATGTCGGTGCCTTGTGCCATTCAATTTCTCTGTATATTGTGTGTGGAAAGTAAGGCGTTAAACTGGATTGCTGCTCTTTGCTTCTCACGTCGGGGTGGGCGAAGAGGCTGTACTCCGCCGGTATCCGAACTTCCGATGCCGGTGCCTTGTGCGATTCACTTTCTGTGCATGTTGTGTATGGAAAGTAAGGCATGAAATTGGGTTGCTGCCCCTTGCCTGTCACGTCGGTTTTCAAATTTGCTACTCGAAGCGTTTGTGCTCTCGCGTGTCTTTTAGCCCTTGAACGACGTTCTCTTAGTATCTTTTCGTGCAGTGGAACAACTCGTGTTGCGCTCTATGATTTGTACTGCATGTACAACAACCTGCATAAGATCGTTGTCGGCGGGGCGAATAGGCTGTAGTCCGCCGATGTCTGAACTTTCGATGTCGGTGCCTTGTGCGATTCAATTTTTGTGTATGTTGTGTGTCGAAAGTAAGGCGTGAAATTGGATTGCTGCCCCTTGCCTGTCACGTCGGTTTGCAAGTTTCCTATTTGAACGCGTTTGTGTTCTCGCGTGTCTTTTCGAATTGCTTGCCAATTACGGTGCTCGTTCATTTTCACCTGCGCTCGTCCTGTTCTGCTTTTGCACTGCTCTTAGAATTAGTCCACTTGTGGAAATTTTTTTTGGGGTGCATGGCAGTTTTAGACACAGTCGCGGGCGTGAGATTCATCTTGCATTTCCACGTGCCGTCCGCGGTGCTGCTTGCATTTCCGCATGCCGTAAGTCGCCCCTGCGCCATCACGTAACGGCCTCGCTGGGAGCAACTCTATGGGGGCACTGGTTTCTCTGAATTCACTGCAGTGGCCGCCTGCTGTCCAACTGCCTGTTCCGCCCCACTGCTCGGGTGCACCCATAACTTTTTCCTGTTGGTTATTCCGCTGCGAGCGCGCGCTTGGCCTATATAGGCACGGGCGTGAGCTTACGCTACATCATTCACAAGCCATGTGTGAGAAACGTAAGGTTGGGGGTTCAAATACCTTTTTCCGCTCGTATCACCGCAACGCGGCGCACTATGTGGCACCCATAAGACCAGTGCCCGACATGAAGTCGGACTGGATTAAGGTGGTCGGCCCCGATGCGGGCCGACGCACTATGTGGCACCCATAAGAGCACCACGCTGCTCTTATGGGGGATTGGGGAAAGGCTCAATCCCGGAGCAGTAAGCGCGGTAGTTCCCTTCTGCCCTTCCTCAACTCTGCCCACCGGAACTTTCGATGTTCCAACATTCAAACACAACAAGGAGTCGACGTCATTGTGTTGCTGTGATTATCCATCAGTGGGGGTCGCAGGTTGTGCTGCTCAAGGCACCTTGCTCATCACAATCAAGGCACCTTGCTCATCACAATCAGAAATAAGTATGGATCTCAGCACACTTATCAAACTTCTTTGACAAGGATACAATCAAGGCGCCTTGCTCATCACAATCGAGTTTGTGCCAGGAGGGAGCCAAGGTACTTTTTATGAGAGTTCTGAGAACGACAACCACTATG